ACTACAACGACTTGAAAATGGGACAATTGCATAAAATACTATTTAATAAAACCATGTGCTATATATTTGATAAAAGGATTTACTTATAAGCAATAAAGTTAAAGTAAAAACGTGCTGAAAAGATAAAATATAAAATATATTTGTAATTTAAAAGATTATCTTCTGTTTTTTAAGTAGATTTATCTTTAATTTAATGATATATAGAAATATTTACGTACTATGTTTTACTTTGTCTTTCTGTACTTATTATTTTCAATGCTATTATGTTGAACTCCGCTGTACATTTAATGCAATATTCCCATTTTTATATTTCCTTTTGTAAGAGTATTTGGTTGCAACTGTGTGTATATGTGTGTGTGTGTGTGTATGAACTTTTGTTGGCGCAAATATTTGGTGCTCCTTATTCAGTTATGTTTTTTTTTTTGTCGTTTTGGTTGTTCCCTTATTTTGCTTTTAAAGCGTCGAAATTGTATAAAGCGTCTGTTATGGCCTTTTGGGGTGCTGATTCAGTTTGAGGTTCATTGGGGGTGGGCTTGAATGCTCTTTGTGTGCCAGAGTGTGTGTGTGTGTATTTATGGCGTCTTTCGCCCTCAATTTCATTTGCAATTGAATTTGGGATTATTTTTCATTTTTGCTTGCGCATCTCACACACACTTGCACATGGAGCAAAGGCCACAAGTGGCTTGAATGGGTCCATGCCAGTAATTGGGAGACGAACATGGGTGGTAGGCGGTGGGGTAATGGGGGAGTGGCAAGAAGGATCAAGTAAGGGAGTTGGAAGGCAAAAGCCCAGCTACGAAAGCTGCTTGCATGTCTGAATGTCGTTTGTCTCCGACTCAAGCTGAATTTTTCCTGCTACCGGGTGCTCTGTTTTAATACCCAGTAATCTTCGTCCTGATGGGTGTTTCTGACCCTATAAGGTTTATGAGTTCTCGATCAAGATAAACAGTCAATCATTTCAGGTTAATCTATATGAAACACTAACAGTGGCCATTTAAAATCAAATAAATTTAATACTGGCGAAACCAAACTTATAAACAAACTTATAGCATATTAAATCCAAGTAAGTCTTTGTAAGTAAGGTTTGGCAGCAATAACAGGGTACGAAGTAGCTTTACCACGGTTTTATAGTTTTCTTTATTTCTTTTTTTTTTATGTGTAAGGCTTCCAGGACGACAAAATCCAAACTGCCCTCAGCTCGACTGGCAACGGAAGTTGTAAAATTCATAAGTCGAGCAAGCGCGCGCGTGGCTTTTGTTCAATTGGCGCAACAAAAAAAGGGACCACAAAAAATACAAATAAAATAAAATAGAAATGCTACGACAAAAAAACACGTAAAACATCGAAGTCGCAGTGAAAAATCTTGTACAAGTGCAAGCGTTGATCTGAACTCCAGTAAAAAGATAACACAAAAGTGCACTTTAATCTTTGTGCAGAAATCTCGACGAGGCGCTGGGCGATGCAGTCAAAGCCAAAGCGAAATATGATTGAAGTGGTGTCGCCAGAGCGTGTGTGGCTGTGTGTGTGTGTGTGGGCCAAAAGGGGGCCAAAGGATGGGTAAGCGGTGGGGCAAGGAATGTGTGCCAGCGAATGAAGCCAGTGTCGAGTGCACTTAGAAACACAACTAATGCAATTCTGAATGTTTTCATTATATTTTCTTCTTTTCGTTTTAGACCTTTGTACAAAAAAGTATTATATAGTTTGTTCAAAGGCATGAAGGCTTTACCTTGACTTGTTTATTTTGAATACGCAAAACTATTATTTTTTAGTTTCGTTTTAAAACATATGTTTGGTCACCAAGAAGTGATCAAATAAATGATGATTAAAAATGTATTTTTGATGATGATTATAAGTTTATAACTTCTGAACAAAACTTGGTTGTCCGAAGTCTATTTTGGTTTTATAAATCTACTATGTTTTAGTCTATTTAAAAATGGTAGCCTTCCTATTTAATTTTTTTAAGATTTTTAACAAATTTTCAAGTTTTTACCTTTAGATTTATTATATTTTTTATACAACCATTTTGTTTTAATTACTACTGATTGATAAATCTTAATTCCAATCTTAAAAGTTTTCTCTGACTGTAGCAAAAGAAGTTGTCGTGGTGGAAAGGAGAAAGAAGCAAAGATGGCAAAAAGGGGCAGAAGGCAAAAAGCAGCCGTTGAGTGGCACGGAGAAATTGGAAAAATGAAATGTGCCGGAGACGCGCGCTCTATTACGCTGGCGATGGCGACTCAACAGCTGTTGATTGAAATGGGAAATGGGAAGAGGGTGGAGGGCAAAGGACAGTATTGAGTTTGGATAAGGCTTGGGGGGGAAGGTGGAGAGCATGAGTGCATGGCACTGTCGTCGTCGGTCAAAGCGAGCTAGCTGGTGGGATGGCATAAAAACCGAAAATCAGACAACATCTTTGGGTTGGCTAGGCAGCATCAGATACCGATTGAATGCAGCCTCTTTCTTCGTACACTCTCGAAAGCTCATAAGAGTGGCAGCAACAATAAAGCCGGCCCTAAAAGTGGGAAAAACGAAAAGAAAATTCAAGCAGAAGGCGATGCAGCAAAATGAAATAAAAACGGGTCATTGGAGTAAGAAGCGGCATGCAACCAAATAAAACATAGCGAGGGATATATACTTGTAGAATAGAAGGGAGCAGGCAGTATACTCGAGGGGTTGCCTTTGATATGCAAATTGCATGCCACTGTGGATTATGTGGGGCCTTCAAGGAGAGCGGGCCATTTACGGAAGCTGTGCCTGCTGCGGCTTTTCTGGCTTCTCTAGGGTTTACGTATTTAGTGGCTCCCTCCTATGTCTATGACTACGGCTTTTCCTGGAGCAACATTCCACCTGCATCCACGACCCGCTACCTACACTGTTGGAAATTTACAAAGGAAATTAGATATTTCTCAATCCTTGATATTCATTTTTTTCATCACAGAAAACGAGATATAACTCAGTGCTTGATTTAAATTTTTAACATGTGATTTAGCTATTAAATGTCGACAGAACATTAGAGTTTTATGTATTATTTGTAAAGGCCTGTTTTTTTGTTTTAGTTTAAATTTAAAAGATTTATATATTTTTTTGTATTATTTTGCTCAGAGTAGGAAACCTTTTGTCTCTTATTACACACCCCTTTTAAGCTTGACATTAGCTTGTTTGCTCTACTTTTTTTCTAAAATTATTATAAAAAAAATGTTGCGGGCTAGTTTTTTTTCAGTGCAATAAATTTGGCGTAGGTCGCGTTCTTGGCGGGCAACGTTGCCATCCTGCACTGAAGAACGACAACGCCGCCAAAATGCTTGTAATAAAGACAAACAGTTGGGGAGTGGGCAAATAAAAAGCGAGCGCGAAGAAAACGAAGAAGAATAAGCAAATGCATAATGGTAATGGCACGGCAGCAGCAAAAGCAACACAACCCAACAACTTCACGCCGCCCCCGCTTACTTGACACAATAGCATCAGCCAAATAAAAATTTATAGCTCCACTGAAAGCTGCAATGTTTGCAACTGGGAGTTGGGAGCTGGAAGCTGGAAGCCGGGAGCTGACTGGAGACTGGACTGGACAGCGGTCCTCGTCCTGGCGCCAGTATGAATATCGTCGGCATGCCAGCGCCAAGAAATAATGCCAGCGAAGAGGGGAAATCCTGTTGCCTTGTTATGACTTTCGAGCGATTCGTTTGCTGGCTGGCTGGCTGAGAGGGTTCTCAAAAGGGGCTGAGATGGTGTTTTCGAGAAGCATTCAGGCGAGTGGCATAAATGATGTTTAATGAAAAGTGCAGACTGTCTTCGATATTGCAACTGTTGAGCTCCCTTCTTAAAAGCGCCAAAATTAATTACATAAACTTGCTTTTCAACGGGAGAAGGAAGTTTTATATATAAATAAGTTCAATAATTAGATATGTAAAGATTTATGACTTCCCAACGTTACAAAAGTAAAAGTACCCAAATACCTAAATTGATGCTTTTAATATATGACTTAATTAACTTATAATGTATAACTAAAACTTAAAACCAAATGGTTCATTTCAATACAATTAAAAGAATACTTTGTCAATTTAAGCAAAGGCTTTCAAAGAATGTATTAAACAGAAATTACAAAATATATACTCCTATTATTTAATAAAAAGCAAACATGAATAAAAATTAAATTTTTCCATCAATTAATTGATTTAATAAAAGAGGTCCGCCGTTTTATACCTTGCAAAGTTTTAATTCATTTTTCGCTCAGCTTAAAAATTCGTTTCATTGCCCCAGATTTGGGGCAGTTCTCGTAACTCAGAAGATTATTCGGGAAATGAATGTAAATGGCTGGGACCATAAAACCTTCGCAGCTTTTAAAAATGTGCACCACTCTGCGGTGCAGTTCTTTATTCCCTTTTCCGCCCTGTTGCATTCCCCTTTTCTTTTTCGTTTTTTTGGTTTATTTAATGTTGACAGTCGCGATGAGGGGTGAAAATGAAAACGCGAGCGAATCGCGTGCGAAACGCGTCCTCCGATTGTGGATAAAAGGCAGCAGAGCGACCGACCGGGTTTCTCTGGCTGCGCGCTTAAACAATAAAACAATAAATTTTCATTACCGGCTAGCGGCTATTAACAGTTTCCGGTGGCCAAGACAATGCTCCGCCAGAAGTCCCGGCAAAGCTGTGAATATAATTGTTGATACACTTTTAAAGTGCAGCAGGCGCCAAAGGACTAGTACACTCCACCTTTTTCACTGCAATTTTTACACCGTTTTTACTTAAACATTTGACTTTGGCATTTGCATTTAAATTTTTTCCTTCGTATATTTCGCATCTGCGTGGGGTTGCTTTTAATTACATTTTTGTGGCTTTCACTGGGCAGGTCATAAATAATTTTCCCATTGAATTCAGTAAGATGGGGGAAAGGCCCCAAATGCCGGACTGCATCAGCAAATTAACATTCCTCATTCTGACCCTATTTTTTTTCTCCTTACCAACTTACTTCCCGCATTCATTCTCTGCTTTTGTTCTTCCTTGCAGGTCACGTGGCCGGCTGTGGCATCACGGATGAGGTCTCTCAGTGGATGGAGAACATACAAAATTCAGCCGTCGAAGAGTTGCCGGAGCCCATGTCAAAGGACTACCAAAAGCTCCACCGGAAGCAGCTGCACAAAAAGTCCGCCCCACAGCAGCAGCAGCAACAACAACAACAGCAGCAACAGCAGCCCCATCCGCCCAAGAAATATATCGGAGGCGATGAGGACTTCAAGTATCCCCATCAGAAGTACACGAAAGAGGCGAACTTCGCCGAGGGTGTATTCTACGATCCATCGACCGGACGTCGCCTGGGTTCATCCGCCAACGTGGCCGACTGGCATCAGCTCGTCCACGAGCGAGTGCGCCGTGCCACCGACGGCGGAGGAGGAGGCGGGTCCGGGGGCTCATCCGGCGGACCTGGACGCGGTCGCGAGGACAACAAGAATACCTGCTCGCTCTACATTCAAACGGATCCATTGATTTGGCGCCACATACGCGAAGGCATTGCCGATGTAAGTACCTATGATTTAGCCATATCATTGGCCATGGCCAAAGGCTTGGGAGAGAAATCCAATTTAACGCGTACAAAATGAAATCCGAAAACACAAAAAGGCTGTTTTAATCTTAAGTTAAGTTAGACACACACACAACATATAAAGTTAGAAAATTGTCTACGTTTCTAAAATGAAACCCGAAAACACAATTATAATTAGAGACACCTAACTTAAATATAGTGAGAAAATTGTCATTATAAAACACTAAAGCATACACATTTCTAAAATACTATTTTTTTAAAAACTAAATTTGAATTTTGTATTAATTTGGTTTTTATTATACATTGTAGAGAAAGCGGCAAAGAAGCTTAAAGTTTTTATGCTGACAAAATAGGGGCATGTGCCCGAAAACAGAAAAGACCATGAATTTTGCAATTTTTTACGAGACATCAGACTTCTCATGAAAGTGAAGTGCGCATAAAACAAAAGGAGGCACGGAGTTTATGGGGTAGAGGGATGACAGGGGCACATAGACATTGTAGTTGTCAAGCAATTTTTTGTATGTACTTTCCATGTTGAGCGATATGGATAAACAGAAATCGACTGGTGCCCTACGCAATAACTTCAAGGTTCTGGTTGTCAGGGGCACATGGATCAGTGGCTCGTGGAAATTTGTAAAATACCTTTGAAAAAGAAAATAATAAAAAATCAATATGTTTCATCGTTCACAAAGCTGACAAATTTTCATTCATAATTTTGTGCAATCATTTTTAGTAATTTGTCCTTTTATTTCTAAAAGAATAATTTTCAACAATTTAGTGGTCATTGAAATTTAATTGCACGGTTACTTTTTACTTAAAAGAAAAGCAAATTAGTTCTATAGCATTTTTTTTTTTGGAAAATATATTTGTTTACCTACTTATTCAGCGAATTTTCACGCTCCATAAACTTTCCGAACCCTTTTTGTCGCATTCCACAGCATTGCCTACTTTTCGGGGCATCTGCAGAGCGAACATAGCTTAGCAATCATCCAATCAGCTGACCTCCTTCGGTTTGTACAGTGTATGCAATCAACCGTTATGGCCCGCAACCGTGTTAAACCACCCACCGCCTCATCTCCCTCCCCCTCACCTCACCTCACCCCACCCATTTAGAGCCATTCTTTCGCCGCACTTTTATGTTTACGTTCCTTTTTTCGCATTGTACGCGAGATGATGTCGACGTCAAAATCCTCGTCACCAAAGTGCCAGCCCTATTTCCGTTTCCGCCCACGCCCACTGCCACTCTCACTCCCTCGTCCTTTCCGGCTTTCTCCTTGTCTTCGCTTTCTCCTTTCTCTCGTTTCCTCACGTATGTTTATTTGCAATGAGTTTTGCATAATTCGCGCATTTGTTTCGCTCACTCTTCCAACGATTCTCGCTTTATTTCGTGCTTTTTTCCGTTTCTCGTTTTATTTTTGTTCACATTTTTAAATCATTATAAAGGGTATACAAATTTTGAATAGAAGTTGACCTATCAGTAAAGTACAATCTATGGAACTTCTTTAAATTCATTTAATTATGAGCTATGAATAAGTCATGCACAACTGGACAACTTTTCCAGGGTTTGGAATAGTATATTTGTTCTTTTTTTTACAATTGCAAGGGAATATAAACTTCGGTTTGTCGAAGTTTCGCATTCTTTTTTCGTCCGCCTTTGTTTTTGTCTCTTGGGCCCCGCGGCATTTTGATTTTTGAGCCAAAATCGGTGGGTGACTGATGCTGGATCCCCGGATGTTTGGGGAGTGCGCATAAAGCCTTATAACTTCAGCTGAAATATTCGTCGGGCTTAGCTGAATTTGCATTTTTATACAAATATATTTGAAGAGTGTTTGTTGGGTGGGACTTGGCATGGATTGGATTGGATGAGCTTTAGATGAAAGGGGCGTTTTTTGTTTGTCTGGCGGGGAGTGGGGAGTTTCGGACCCGTTTACACAGATGTCAGCCGCATTTCCGCTTTCCAACGCATTGCGGTTTTGAGGTTTTTATTACCCCATCCCCCAAAATTTCAAGTGGTTTCACGTTAATTAAATCTGTCTACCTTGACGCTTAAAAAATAATTTTTTTTATATATTCTAAAGAGAATTTGGAGGAAGAGGTTTGCAGGTTTTTTCCTTAAAATGTAATATACTTTTCAAAGTTTAATGATTAAATTTCTACGAACCATAACCATAATTTATGTTGAACTCTGATATTAATTACCATTATCTTTATTTAAAGATCAAAGTTTATATACAAAATGTTTAATATGAGCAATTTTAAATGTGTTTAAGCTATTATATAAATATTTGAATCCCAAAGTTTAAAGATCAAATTTCTACAAACCATAACTATAATTCATGTTGAACTCTCGTGTTAATTTATCGTTACTATTAAAATATAAAAGTTTAATGTACAAAATGTGAATCCACTTTACAAATAGATACATATATTTATACTTATCAGAAACCTTACTGTTTAAGGGCCTTTTGAGCTATTGAAATTTAACCGCTGGAAGCCAGCGTTAATATTTTGTCAACACCTTTTCATTGCGCCTATTTTTGGTTACAGCATGATCGTGGACGAAAGTACGAGGTGGATGTGAAAACGCGCGAGGAAATTACATCGCTGATTGCACATCACGTGACGGCCGTTAATTACATTTACCGCAACACAAAGTTCGACGGACGCACCGAGCATCGCAACATACGCTTTGAGGTGAGTACACAAACGCACTCGCCCACGACCACGCCCACACACATAGCGGCAGTCCGGCGGACAAACAATGATGATGGGATATGGACAAAGCGGCAGGACCCGCCCCACAGCACCTTTCGACCACAGCAGGACATTGGGAGCTGGTTAAACCGTGTGGGGACAGGTCTTTAGTGCAGTGTATATTAAATCTCAATCCGGATTTCCTAGACTACAGTTTTTGTGTCACACGCGACTAATTGATTGCGTTAATTGAGTTGCAATATACATATATTATTATTTCTGCGAAATGCAGGTCAGTTTTTCACACATTCTGATTACAAAATGCTACGCAATCACGTAATTTGATATGCAAATTTCATTTAAGGACACATTTCAGAATTTAAATAAATATTTGGGAACAGTGCATTTATTTATTTATGTGCTAATTTCAATTAAATACAAATTACAGAATATTTAAAAATTTTAATAATTAATATTGACAATTTATAGTCCAAAAGCTATATTTACAATGTTAAATTTATCAGGAGCGCTTAGCAAATACAATATCATAAAAAAGTAAAGAATTTAACTGATGTACTAGTATATTCTTAATATGTAAATGCATTCCATAAATGTTTTTGTTTATATTTAAATAACATAATTTAATTTCTCTTATACCAGGTGCAACGCATTAAGATCGATGACGATTCGGCCTGTCGAAATTCCTATAATGGCCCACACAACGCCTTTTGCAATGAGCATATGGATGTCTCGAACTTTTTGAATCTCCATTCCCTAGAAGATCACTCGGACTTTTGTCTGGCCTATGTTTTTACCTACAGGTTGGTGATTGATTTAATTATAATTTAGAAAATTCTTTGATTTATTAAAACAACTCCCCCTTTTACAGAGATTTCACGGGCGGCACTTTGGGTCTGGCCTGGGTGGCGAGTGCTTCGGGAGCCTCTGGTGGAATTTGCGAGAAATATAAGACTTATACGGAAACGGTGGCCGGACATTATCAAAGCACAAAGCGATCCCTCAACACGGGAATCATCACCTTTGTTAACTATAATAGTAGAGTGCCACCGAAGGTATCGCAGTTGACATTGGCCCACGAGATTGGACATAACTTTGGATCCCCTGTGAGTTTTGAAAACAAATTTGATTCCCAGTTGGGATACGAATAAACCAAGTTTATAGATTACTTCAATTTCTATATACCTTCCTAACTTTGTTTTATAATTGTTATTATTTCCAGCATGACTATCCGCAGGAGTGTCGTCCTGGTGGTCTTAACGGCAACTATATTATGTTTGCCAGTGCCACCTCCGGTGATCGACCAAATAACTCAAAGTTTTCGCCCTGCTCCATACGGAATATCTCCAATGTCCTCGATGTGCTGGTCGGAAATACGAAGCGGGATTGCTTCAAGGCCTCCGAGGGAGCCTTCTGCGGCAACAAGATCGTGGAGTCCGGCGAAGAATGCGACTGCGGCTTCAACGAAGAGGAGTGCAAGGATAAGTGCTGCTATCCGCGTCTGATCAGCGAGTACGATCAGTCGCTGAACTCCAGTGCCAAGGGCTGCACACGACGTGCCAAGACGCAGTGTTCGCCGTCGCAGGGTCCCTGCTGTTTGTCCAGTTCCTGCGCCTTCGTGCCCACCAGCTACCATCAGAAGTGCAAGGAGGAGACGGAGTGCAGCTGGTCGAGCACCTGCAATGGAACCACGGCCGAATGTCCGGAGCCACGGCATCGGGATGACAAGACGATGTGCAACAATGGCACTGCGCTATGCATGCGTGGTGAATGCAGTGGATCACCTTGCCTGCTCTGGAACATGACCAAGTGTTTCCTCACCTCGTCCACGCTGCCGCATGTCAACAAGCGCAAACTCTGCGACTTGGCCTGCCAGGATGGCAATGATACCAGCACCTGTCGCAGCACCAGCGAGTTTGCCGAGAAGTACAACATACAAAAGGGTGGCATTAGTCTGCAGCCAGGATCGCCTTGTGATAATTTTCAGGGCTACTGTGATGTGTTTCTCAAGTGTCGAGCCGTGGACGCCGATGGTCCGCTGGTGCGGCTGAAGAATCTGCTGCTCAATCGCGAGACCCTGCAGACTGTGGCCGAATGGATCGTGGACAACTGGTATTTGGTTGTCCTAATGGGCGTGGCGTTCATCGTGGTTATGGGAGCCTTCATCAAGTGCTGTGCCGTGCACACGCCCAGTTCGAATCCAAAGAAGCGGCGGGCTCGTCGCATCAGTGAGACCTTGCGAGCTCCCATGAACACGTTGCGTAGAATGGTAGGGTTTGGCCATAGCTTTTGCTAAAAGGATAATATAATTTATTTATTTATAATTTATTGCAGCAACGACATCCCAATCAGCGGGGAGCAGGACCTCGAAGCATTCCACCGCCGGCGCACGAGGCGCAGCACTATCCACGCAGCGGTGGAGGAGGAGGCGGAGGAGGAGGAGGCGGCGGCGGCGGAGGTGGTGGTCGCCATGGTGGCTCTCGGTCGCACCACCAAGGATCGCATCCGCACGATTGGGATCGCCAGCAGGGCGGTCACTCAGTTGTGCCACTGCCCACCGGCGGCAGTCACGCCAGTCGAAATTCGGCAGCGAATCAGGCGAGAAGGAGCGATGGTCGCGGCACACGCTCCACCAGCAGTGGAAGACCACAGGCGGCCGGCAGTGGAGGCGGTGCAGTCAGCAGCAGCGGAGCAGCGCGATCACATGGCGGCGGCGGGTATGGAGCCGAACAGACGATACCGGGTTCCATTGGTGGTGGTGTGCAGGCGGCCATTAGCAGCGGCGGTGTAGTGGCTCGCGCCCAACTGCCGCTGCCATTGCCACCGCCAAATGCACAGCAGCAATTGCAACAGCAACAGCACCAACAACAACAACACATACAACTACAGCAACCGGCATTATCGCCGCAGCAGCAACCGCAGCAAGCGTTCTACGCGCCGAAAGGTGTGTGTCTTCCTCGTTTCCCCCACCCCCCCCAAAAAAAAAAAGAGTGAGCCCCTGAGTTGGTAGTTTTTGCCCCCCCAGAAATGCTCCTCTCTTCATTTTTTGTTACCCCCGATTTAATTTGTCGTTTTTCTTTTCGTTTGCGAAACGCTACAAATTCAGAACTACCACCACGCAATAAGTCCCGATCATCACGTACCAACAACAACACCTCCAACACAACAGCCACCAACTCATCCACCGCGGCAGTCGGCAGTGGGTCGGGATCGGGGGCGGGCGGCAGTAGTAGTAAGAGCAAAAGCGGTAAAAGTGCCAAAGCCAAAGACTCAAAGTCGCAAAAAGCGCAGCAGCAGCAGCAGCATCAGGGCAGCAGTCGCAGCAGCAGCAAGGAGAAGGCCGTCAAGCCAGTGCGCCGCAATATCGTTTATTGATGAGTGTGTGTGTGTGTGTGGATCCATCTCACATTGCCATACAGAGAACACTGAAAGACAGACCCCCCCCCCGTTTCCCAATCAAAAACCAAAAAAAACGCCCGCTGCTAGTCATCGATCCATGAGTTGTTGCTTCCCATCACCATCACCAAACACAAACAAAAAAAATGAAATGAAAATGAATATGAATATGAAAAAGATATTTCTATTAACCGAAGAAATTGGTATGACATATGTGATTTTTACCCAGTTTGTTCCTCTTTTGGTTTGAGATCCCTTTTTTAATTATTTTTTTGAATGTATTTTTGTCCCTGTTTTATTAACTGGTCGTATTTTTTCACCTGCATGTGTACTTTCCCCTGATTTTCCCTGATTTCCCTTGATTTTGGTTTTTCGTTTAGTTTTGGAAAATGTTTTTGTATTGTTGTTGTTATGTTTTTGCATGTGCATTCAAATGGTTTATTTAACAAACTCTATTAACACTAACATAGACTTAAAAACTCTGATTTTTGTGATTATAAAATCACTCAAAAGGGGTTAAATGGGATTAATTAATTTTAAGCGCAAAAGCGTTTCCTTTTTTATAAATATATTTATTTTTTAAATTTTAAATGAACTCTTTTTTCTTTATTCAAATAACAGATTACAAAAAATCTTAAATGTCAAAAATAATAAAAAAAAAGGCTTATAAGTGCATTTTAATTGCAGTATTGCAGGGCTTAATTCCCTTTATTATAAATATAACATTTATTTATTATAATTTATTAGTAATTAAAATTGCAAGTGATTAAAAAAAATTATAATTTCAGTAACGATAAACAGATTAAAAAATTGGAAAATTTTAAGTGTAATGTCTCTTAAAAATACTAATTTACTAACAACTAATTAGCAATGTTCGAGTACATTTAATTTACTGATTAATGTTAATATTTAAATTGTTTCCTTTCTTAGGCGTCGCGCCGCCGCCGCTACAAGTAAGCTTTAGTCGGCCGACATCGTTGCACGAGCAACAGCAGCAGCAACACCATCTGCAGCAGCAGCAACAACTGGAGCCGCAGCAGCAACACGCCTACGCCGATGCCTATGCGGCCTTGGGGCGGGGCCAATATGAATCCACTACGCGGGCGCCCAACAATAGCAAAGTTTGACAGCCAAAAGTGGCAATGGAGCGCCATAAAAGGCCAAAGGCTAAGCGACTCAAGCAGCAGCAACAGCAGCAACAACAACAACATCAACAGCAAACAACACAGCCCAAACAGCAACAAAAGCAAAAACAACATAAATCAAATGAACTCAAATTAAATGTAAATGTAATTTTTATGCTAATTATTTTTATTTAAGCAATGTTTGTATGCCACATAGGAAAACCGCCAGAAAAAAAAAACACAAAAAAAAAGATGCAGACAAACTTCATAAAACAGAAAAAGCTAAAAGTGAATGATATTTTTGATTAAATAAATTGAAATGAAAAATACGAATGCAAAATATGGTTAATATAAATAATTAAAAACGGCAACTTGCATAATACATATAAAATCAAATGGTAAATATATACATTTGTATGTATATATTTATTATGCATACACAAATATTAAATAGCAGCAGCCACAAAAAACTAATGTTTAATTGTATGCAAAAAGCATTCTATATGACGGTGAGATTTCTAAGCGGGAAGCATGAATACAAAATTAATTACACACTTGAATCAGAAAAATGTGTTTTGTACAAAAAAATTAATAAAAACAAAAACAGTGCGAATTAATTAAACGTCATGAAAAAAGAGCGGAAACAACAAAGCATTTAAATTGTATTTATCTGTACCGAAGGCTAAGTGTTTATTTAAAGCCGTCAAAATTGCATTTGTAAACTAGCAAACACAACCATGAAAACCAAAAAGTATAAAAACCAGAAATATTAAATGAAAGAGCGAGACTTAAAACTAATGGTGGAAACAATCCAATCTTTTTAATTTGTTGCCAAACGCATCTTTCTGTATGACTTTCGAACGTCGCTTTGATTGTTTTCCGTATACATTTTCCTTGTGCAGAAAAAGCAAACGAAGTAACTAATTTTTATATTTCACGTATTTTTACTATCTTAGGTACAATTTTCTATTGTCAATTTTTATTAGTATTAGGTTTAAAGCTTTATGTTTTAGCAATCTGGTAGCAAGACCACCACTGATTATGTTTAATGTTATCTATCATATATGTGTATATCTGCCAACATTGAAATCTATTTTTATGTACGTATTTTGTAATACGTAGGTCATGCATATACGAGTCTACGTGTGCTTGTAATTTACTTTGTTGTAGTCTCTTAGGTTACTAGTTTATGTTTTTTGTTTTTGTCTGTGTTTCGTATTTGCATGCTCAAAACTGAAACGTGCAACTCACGGAGTCCCGACTGATGAACTACTCCAAGAAAAGACATTAATAGGATGGAAATTATTTGATTCTTTCGTTGGAATCCTTGTGTTCAATTCTCCATTATTACATCCAAATTTTAAAATATGGTCTACCATAGAGTTTTCTCGAATCGGTTCTAAAATGTATCGCGTGTTCTGTGGTAGATTTATTTTCAATTCCTGTAAGACTCAACTTAAAAGAACATCTTCAAACTCTTGTAAATAAACTCTATGAAATATATATATATAAATATAAATACTAAAACATACTCTAAGGAATAAATTAAAAATGAATTGCATATACAGAAAAAGCAAAATAAGTTTACAAAATAATTAAATTACATAAATTGATATATGAAATATGTATTCAATTCAAATTGACAAGTGAATAATGCAAAGAAACGAAACAAACAAAAAGCGAACAAAGCAGAACTATGCTTTTGATTTTTCTCAAACAACATAGTAAGCAAAGAACAAAAACAAAAAACATTTAACTATTAATTTAATTAAAATAAATAAAGAATTAATTAATTGACTTTAAGTAAACTAATTAATTATGATTATGGAAACAAAATTTCTTAAAAAAGAATGAATGAATATGAGAAAAGATAATAAAAAAACAAGAAAACCTACTATTTTATAAAATAAATCCAATGTGTTTTTATTCATTGGTAATATATAAGGTTTTAACCCACTAAAAGACTTTAATATTTGGTTTTTTAATTTTAATTAGTGAGAAAAAGAGTCAAGGCACTTTGCGAAATACACATTAGTTTACAAATACTTATAAATTAGTATACAAAAACGGTTTTGGTTAAGAACGAGCGAGACGAACACACAACTTCATGGGATTTTCTTTCCGAGGACAACTATGCGCGAATTCTAGAGGTCTTCTTGCTCTTGTCGGCCTTTGGTGGTGGTGGTCCACTTCGTCCTGCCTGCATATGACGATTGTAGATGCTGTCGAGGATAAAACTGATAAGTTGGGAACACTCTATGTTATTGAATATTTTGATAACTCACATTTTGTAGGTCTCCGTTTTGAGGTAGTCGATGACATGACTAATGCCTAGTAAATATTGCTCGGCAATGGGATTGACCCAGGGATTCTCCTCCATCTTCATCACCGACTTGTTGCTCAACAGATCCAGTTGGGCGATTTCTGGCGGCAGGACCTGCAGCCTATTATTCTGAATGTGCAGCTCCCGGAGTCGCAACAAGTCCCCAACTTCGCGGGGAAGCTCCAGCAGATCGTTGTCACGCAGTCCGAGAATTTGCAGATTCTTCAGCTGGCCCACCTCCTTGGGTATATACTCGAAATCATTATCGCCCAGATATAAGGCCCTCAGAGTTTCCATGCCGAAGAAGTTGCCCGGAAGCACCTGTTCGTTTAGATTATTGTACGACAGGTCCAACACCTCCAGGACGGGGAAGGCTCCAAAGCCTCGAGGTAAGTTGATTAGCTTATTAATGGATACATTAAGGATTCGGAGCTTGGGCATGGACGACAGCGAAACAGGCAGTTCGGCAAGCTGGTTATTCGAGAGGTTTAGGATCTCCAAATTCAAAAGATTCGCGATTCCAGGACTGATCACACTGATCTTGTTGTGGGACAGGGTCAATCGCGTGATATTGGCCATGTTGACTGTTGAGAAAGAAATCGAGGGGTTGGAAAATATTGAATTTAATATATGTATATATTTGTGATAGACCATAGTGTCATAGAAATCTTATCTTAAACAAACCATCTTTATTGTGGTAAGACTTAGTTTTACAAAATATATTCATATATTTTAAAATTAAAAATTGCTATTATATAAAATAGCAACAATTAAAAAAACATTTTGCTATTATTTTAAAATATTTATTTCAATTGTATCCGCTGCAAATTTCGCACTGGGTTCAAATATAAACAGCTGACTGCACGCAACAAGTATAGACGCCAGAAGTTAGAGCGAGATAACTATATTAACATAGGCATGCGCATTGTTGTTCTTTAAATAATTCGATAATTAAAAAGATAAAAACATATAATTTATTTTAACAATTAAATGAAAAATATTTAATAAATTAGGAAAAAAACAGTGAGAAATTAAATTCTCTTTTAGGAACCCTTCGATATCGCAATACAGTTTTTACAGGGTTTGTTTACATTCTGTACACAACTTGATTTCTATTTCGGTGCTGGCGTCATCGCAATTAATAAAACAGAATGCCACTTAAGAGTTAACAAACTAAAATAAAGTATTATTTTAATAATAAAACGAAAGAACATAACTAATCTTGAATTTTTCTCAACATCTGGGCGAGGTCTTATTTTGCGTGGGAGTGTCAACCGCCCATTGACTCACTTTCGTACAATGCAAACTTAACTTCATTAATTTCGATACTTACACAATCCAGGCAACTCCTCGAAGGACGACAGATTTTTATCCACCAGGTCCAACTCCCGGTTTTGAGTTTCCCTTGCTTCATCCAAAACTTTCTTTGCCTTCGACATCTTTGCGTTTGCGAGTGTTGATTGTTAACAGAAATTATGATTTTTACATTTCTGGTAGGAAACGTTGGTTTTTAACATTTCTGTTGGGACTCACCTTTGCGCTTACGGGTAAACACTGATTCATTTTGTTTCAGTATAATCACAAATTCACAAAAAAATACTGAAAATAATATTTTAAAATATTATATTTTATATTAAACAAATTTTAACGGTACAATAATCTAATCTTAAAACTGTTATTTTATGTACTTCTTAAACAATTTATTATTTGTACTTTACTTTAAAATAATAGTTTTAATTAAAACATTATTATCGATTAATATAGTTTTAAAATAAAACCAAAACAAAACCAAAATATATAATTTCTTACACGTTGATAATTAAATAATTATGTTCTTAGTTATCAATAAAAAAGAAGAAAAAAAAAACATACATTTTGCAAGCGTTCACTTCGCATTTTAAATGGAATGCCAGAAAGCTAGAAAAATTAAACTTGACACAAAGATAAAAATTCTATGTCAATTTGACATGTAAAATTAATGTATGTTATACCTCCAGTAACATTTAAATTAATACTGAAATAAATTGTTTTGTATTTCTGAAAATTACAATTTGAATTACTACTTTATAATTATAGAAGTTTTACTTTAACTCTAGAATTTCCCTAGCTTCGTCAAAAGCATTTAGCTTTTAATTGGTATGATAAGGCTTTCTAGTCATTTTAAAATTTGGTCTAATACATTATTTACCGATTTAAATTTGTCACATACAAATTGGGTGTTGACTTTGAGCTTCGATTTCCATAACCTTTTATTAATAATAATTTTATAAACAACCACTTACAGAATTACTTTCAAACTATTTGCTTTGGCACTTCCAGTGGCTCCAAAACTGTACCAACTGCACTTTTCGTTTGCATATGTTTTTGTGTGGGCAGTTTTCAGCACTTTTCCGTCACATTAATATAAATTTTACAACTTTTTGGGTCACTATGTTACACAAACAATGCACTTGGCCTAGTTTTTGGTTGGAAAGGCAAAAACCACTTTTGTTACAAGGCAAAAAATTATTGAATATCCACGCGCATTTTAATGTTAAGACGGATTATAAGACATTTACGCTACAGAATGAAACGCATGTTCTATTATAATGTCTCCGCTCATTGAATTTAATCACGAAAATAGCCAAAAGGCGGAATGTGTCGTGCGTCGTGCGATCGTCTCGAGTAACTAAAAAGAGATCTCTCGCAGCGTCAGCGAGATCGATCAAAAGTGGATGTGATGTGGGCGAGTTTGGGGCGATGGGGCCTGGTTTTGCCTTTTCTGATTGTCGCCACTGTCAGCAAAAACAAAAGCAGCAAACCCAAACCCGATATTGGGTTTTGTTTGGTTGATTTCATTAAACGTATTTTTTATTTTTCTCCAGCATCTTCACAGTGCGGAAAACCAGTTTGAAATGTAGTGATGAACTTGCATTCCAAACCGATTATAGGGCTCGATTTCGAGGCATAGCTAAAGCA